TTTTCCAATATTGGCGAATCGTTTGTCCATTAAGAGATCATTGTCGCAACTGATCGCCACTTTACGCGCGATTATTTAATTTTGATTACTCGTAGAGTCAGATAAATAGACGCGTGATATGTGAAAATATATCGCCGTGACTTATACGAAGGTACGGAGTAAACTGTCATGTTCTTCTGTTTTTCTTTTTCAAACGCGCGGCGACTGTAAATCCTAATTTTTTATCGCGCTTCATGGTTTATCCAGGAATGCACTCACACACACGCGCGCGCGCGCAGCTCGTGCTTTTAGCGTAGGTCGGTGCATCATTTTATTCGCGAAGGAGCGTTTGCTCGTAGTAAACGCTGCTCGTTCGGCGAACGTCGAGACTTTAAGAGAATTTAAAGCTTCGCATCTCCACGAGGAAATGATCCGTTGCCGCGTGGACGAAGGATGGTTTTGGAAAAGCCCGTTTTCGTGCGCTCGATGTCCGACGATGCCGCTACGTAGCTACGCTTTACGACGAAGCGGAACATCGCAATTGTACGCCATTAGAACGAAAATATCAGCCCGGCGAGATAAAAGCACGCGGTTTCTTTAAACGGTATGCCGGTTTTCTTTCGTTAGGCGATCGCAATCCTTCACCTCTGGCCGAGTCGAAATTTATTTAAGTCCAGTGAGAATTTCGTCGAATTTGAAGGATCAATGACGAAACTCGAAATATGAAGATATATAGAGATGCGTTTGTCAGCAACTTTACATCCCGAATATTTGCACAAAAAGAATTTTATAATAAAAATTATTATAAGATCTTGTAATCAAGGAATAGAGCGACATTTTGCAGTAACTCACTGGCCTTTCGTTTCATACATATGCCACTTATACTTTAAGAGTTGAAACACTTGCTACTAGCGAAATTTGCTATGTTCTGTAGCAAGATAGGCTTTACTAAGTCCGCTCCACTAAAAACATAGCAAAATTTAAAAAATCTATGAAAAAAGAAAACTAACATTCTTTCCAAGTAAAAAGGCGGAAATATATATTTATTATATAGAATGTGTCGTGTATATCTCGTATAAGTTGTAAAATCCTACTAGAAATGTATCGTACTAATTTAGAAATTAATATTTATTAGATATTTTACATGATGTTATACCGGATCCTGATTATATTATTAATCATTATTATTAAAATTTTGATTCCCACGCAAATGACTAAACAGGACCCGGCAACATCATTTTGTACAAAAATAGATGACTGATCAGGATCAACCCGATCATAGGGACTACGGGTTAAATTTCCAGTCGAGGATAGTCGCGTGCTCACGGCGGAGCAATTTTAGTATCGAAACAGCCAACGAGATCGAAGAAACTCTGACCATTTTTATTCACCAGCGAGCATGGCATCGAATAAATAAAGAGGCACGCGGAATATGTTCCGCGGCGCGCGCGGAGGAAGGGGTCAAAGTGTTTTTCGCGGTGGAAATGGAGCTCGAGCTCGACCGGTGATTCGGATTTTATGGGGTTGCTCAATAAAGACGATATTTACGAGGATCGAATTGGCTGTCGAGTGAAGTAACGTATAACGGATGGAACGTGGGGCCGATTTGCGGCTTAACGAAATCCTTGCTCCGTCGTAGTGGCTCTCGTGTACGCCGCGACAACGTGGCGGAACGGTAAACCAACGGGATATACAAGCAATGAGATCGGAAACGTGGAAATCGGAGGGTGGAGCGCAACATCCGCTCGTTGAGTCCGTGTAGCTTGAAACTCTTTCTTGATACGCGGGCAGGTTTACGCTCAGGAAAGGAAAAGAGAAAAGAAAGAGAGAGAGAGAGAGAGAGAGAGAAACGGGAGAAGTCACTGTAAGAGCGTAATACATAAACGCGAGATGACACGAAGTATCATGATCTCTTTAGCAGAGCGTATAATCCATTGCAAAAATGTAATGACACGGTAAAGTTATTTGAGCGAAAATTCCACTCGAAAAGTAAAGTGACAGATGAACCACGCAAATTCGAGGGACTCTTTTCGTCGCGATTCAGAACGGAGAATTTGCTTGATGTAAAAGTCGTATTTGAACGATAGTTTTCGAGACATCCCGAGTCGAAATTTTAGCCTTATCTTGAACCTAAATTTTCTAACATCTGTAAATTTTAAAATGATCAGCAATACGCATAGAGAAATGAAATGCATACTGAAATGCTACTTAACACCTTGATGACAGAAAATATATCAAATGCTATTTATAGGTTCCAAAGAGAGAATCCTTCAGCAAAGCTAGAAAGTGAAATAGAATCAAAAGAGTTTGTTGTAAGCTTCAGAGTACCAAAATAGGAATTAAATGGAACATTGAGGTCGAAATTTCGACTCGAGATATATCCTTTCGCGAGATATTATTAAATACACGCAGACTCGCGTGCATCGATGCAAGAGACAGAAAAATCCCGCCAAGTGTCGAAGTCATTTAATTGGACGTTGAATTTAATTAACTGTCGTATTATTTTCCATGGAATATTCCGAGATCAGAGCCACGAGTGGCTCGCGCGATGGCGCTCAAAAACAACATTCGGCTGAATATCCACATTTAAAATAAACAATATCACGGCTGTCACTTGACGCAGCAATATCAATAAAGGCCACACAATTCCGGTAATAGCCGAGTCAAGTTATTGCAAAATTATCATTTTATTCCGCAATTTGATACGCGACGCAAATGACTCGTGAAGTTTACACGATAACGACGTTATTTCGCGAATAATGCACCGCGCTCCTTTCCTGTAACGCCGAGGTAAGAAAATCGAAACGACGTGCATAACATGCAAGCAACATATCGCACACACACGATCGTCTTGTGCAAGTACGTGTACGGAGCATATGTCTCTCCCCGCGCAAAAGACGTAATGAGACATAAGGTCTCCCACAAATTGTATATGGTAAAAAAATACTTTGTCTTTGTACTGAAATCGATTCGATGTAGAAATAATCTTTTAGCATTAAATTTTTAGCGTATTGTGTTATTCCGTGTTAAATTTATATTTTATGCATCTCTAAATATTGAAATAAGTATTATTATAATTAAAATATAAATTGAAATACACACTTAAATATTTAAATTATTATAAAATTTATGTGTAACATTCTTGGTAAATTCTTTATAACATGTTTTAAATTTAAAATATGTACACACAAAATAAGTTGGGATATTTGTTACATATTTGCCTTGTGTTAATTAACCAACATAAAAAAAAAGTGGACAAATTGGGACATGTGAAAAATTTGCGTTAAATTTGACGCAAAAACTTTTACACAGTGCATAATTATCTTTCTCTTCTACTAAATTTACGAGGGTAGTCCCAGAAGTACTCGGCCTAACAAAGAAAACACAAAAATTTTGAAAAAATATATCTTTATTTCTCAACATAGTCCCCTTTTAGCTCGATACACTTTTACAGCGATGTTCAATAGCTTCGATACCATGTTTATAGTGAGAACCATCGAGTTCCTCAAAATAGCCATCAACCGCAGACTCCACCTCTTCATTGTTAGCAAATCTTTTACCACCAAGCCATTTTTTCAAGTTTGGAAATAGATAATAATCTGAGGGGGCTAAATCTGGTGAATAGGGTGCGTGAGAAAGCAATTCGAACTTTAACTCATTGATTTTGGCCATCGCAATAACGGACGTGTGAGCCGGTGCATTGTCATGATGAAACAACACTTTCTTTTTCGCCAAATGCGGACGTTTTTTCTTGATTTCATCACTCAAACGCTGCAATAAGTTCGCATAATACTCGCCGTTGATTGTTTTTCCTTTTTGAAGATAATCAATGAAAATTATCCCACGCACATCCCAAAAAACTGACGCCATAACCTTGCCAGCCGATGGAGTTGTCTTCGCCTTTTTCGGAGCCGATTCTCCCCTTTCAGTCCATTGTTTCGACTGTTCTTTCGTCTCAGGTGTAAAATGATGAACCCATGTTTCATTCATGGTTATGAATCGACGCAAAAACTCGGCCTTATTACTGCGAAACATCGCCAAACATTCGATTGAAACATCCTCACGAAGCTGTTTTTGTTCAATTGTGAGCAAACGCGGCACCCATCGTGCGCACAGCTTTTTCATGTCCAAATTTTCAGTCAATATGCGATGTACAGCACTTTTTGATATGCCTACCATGTCATCTAACTCGCGCACTTTCAGTCGACGGTCATCCAATACCATTTTGTGGATTTTTGTCACCATTTCTGGCGTGGTCACCTCATTTGGTCGACCACTGCGATGTTCGTCTTGGCAGCTCTTACGGCCTCTTTTAAACTCTGCCATCCAATATTTTATTGTTGTAAACGAGGGAGCAGACTCCCCCAGAGTAGAATCTAGCTCAGTTTTGATATTGGTTGGACTGAGATCTTTCAAATGAAAATATTGTATCACATAACGACCAATTTTCTTCATGTTTACAAATGTACTGAGAGCGTTCACTATTCATGGCTGCCAAACTAATACTAAACAACGTAGCGTCTTGAAACTTCAAACTTCAGCTTTATAAGGTTGATGCTTTCGGCCATAGTGATTTTTTTCAAACAACAACCGCCATCTATACGTCAGGTCGGGTACTTCTGGGACTACCCTACTACTACTTCTTAATTTTCTCCCTTAATTTCTTTTTAGTTATTTTCATCATTCACAAAGCTTATAATATTCTAGCAAATGAGATACACAGTCAATTATCGAACTCGATTTTCATTCACACGCAATAAATCGGATTGAAGCGGCAGCGCGAGCGTCACGAAAACGCAACGTCAGAATGGCAAGTGATAGCATAATAACGAATTATCTCTAGGAGAGAATATTTCCGATATCGCAGGCCGCACGTTACACGGCGCTATCCGCGCGTTACGGCCAGTTCTTTGAACGGTTTAGGTCGCACGGATGTATCTACGGCGCTATAAAGATTTGCATCAAGGCCGAGCGAACGAGCGCTCCGGGCGGCATCGTTCATAAATATCAATGTGGCTTACCTGTACAGAGGTTCGCCGCTGTCCTCTTTGAACCAGAGCACCATGGAGACAGCGTCATTCGACTCTCGAGGCTGTATGTTACACGGCAGAATCGCCTTCTGTCCCGCCACCCCCTGTATCGCCTCCATAGGTACTAGAAACACATATCGACGACCTCGTTCAGAAAGGTATTTACTACCGCGAGAAAACGAAGAGTAACGAATATCGCGGGGTGAAATCGTCGGATAATAAAGAATTATGGATTTTTTAGACAGCTGTGACGATCCCCTGAGCTCTCCTGAGAAGTCTCGGGAGAGTGTCGAGAGCTCCTCTCGATTTTAACACGTGGATTTCACCCCGCGACGCTTCATCATCATTAAGATATATGTAACGCACGTTTCTGCCGCGATCGATTATTGGCACCAGTTAATTCGAGGGAAGCGTTTACGATTTCTACATTTCTTAAGCTACATTCAGCAGGAAAAGCTGCTTTGCGACTATGGCGACATTCTTTCCAAGAGATTAAGAGCATACCACAATTGAATTTTACAACAGTCGCAAAGCAGCTTTCTCTGCTGAGAGCAGCCTCAGATTTTGCACGCTCCCGATTCCATACGATGCCGCCATTAATGTTAATGGCGCTGTTTAATTCGAACATCGATGCTCCCACAGGAATGGAATGCTATATATTTTCATTGACGAGGTATGCATACGACCGATATTACATTCTAATACGGCATGTATTCTATGTGGAGCGCGCCGCCGCACACGAATCCGCACGGCGAAACATTTCAATATATAAAATTATAATGCGCGCTTCGTTCGAGAGGAGAAAAAGCCGGCGATAAAGTCGAACTGGGCATGAAGAAAATCGGTCGTTCGACTTAAAGTGGCTCTCCTCGGAGCACGGTTCACGACACTTTCCGTTCCGTCGCACGACGGACCGCTCGTTGACGAGTATTTCCAGCAATAATGCAGATTTTTATCGAGCAACCTCCTCCTCCTTCTCCCGCCTCGGTCACCACGACTCGTGAATAATCCCTCTCAGCGTTCTCCTTCTTTTAATCCTAGCCCACAGGAATCTTCCTGCCATCGCAGTTCACAAAGCGCGATCTTTGATCTTTTGATCGAGAGCGATGGGATATTTGCGTTATAATTAGCGGCAATATTTTCGTGTAAAATAGAAATATGTTAATTGTTCCGTTAATTTACGAGGATATTACGAGGATATTAATATCGATATTAACGAGCGTGGATGCAGAGATGTCGTCGTAAATTAATTCAGTCTTGTCAGTTTTGATGAGTTCAAAAATGTAATAAATTTTTCGAAAGTATCTCGTTGGTGAGAACCTCTCTTGTGGAACTTTAATTACGGAAAATCTAAAAGTCGAGCATCTAACGACGCGAGATAAAACTGTTTACGGGTATATACAGGGTGTCTCACACTTTCCTCCGGGAATTTTGTGGGGACGTAGAACAGATTGAGATGAACATAAAAGTCCTATACCGTTTTGCGATATTCGCAATAATTATCGAGATATTAATTGTAGAAAATTTGTGAATGATCATGCAGGATATGGTAAATGAGTTATAATAGCGACGATTGCCGTCGTGTACTTATACTTTAGATCAAATTGAACAAAAAAGCCCTCTACCATTTTCCAAATAATCACATAGATTTTTAATTATTAATTATTATTAATTAAAGAAGATTATTGCACGATTTTGCGTGATAATGCACTGATCTTCTTTAATTAATAATTAAAAATCTATGTGATTATTTGGAAAATGGTAGAGGACTTTTTTGTTCAATTTGATCTAAAGTAGAAGTACACGACAGCAATCGTCGCTACTATAACTTATTTACCATATTCTGCATGATCATTTACAAGTTTTCTACAATTAATATCTCGATAATTATTGCGAATTTCGCAAAACGGTATAGAACTTTTATGTTTACCTAAATCTGTTCTACGTCCCCACAAAATGCCCGGAGGAGAGTGTGAGACACCCTGTATAAACTTATATCTAAAAAATAATGAAAAAACCGGAGATTAATCTATGTCGCATCAAAAAGTAATTACAAACAATTTGACACTGATTTAGAGTCTGGATCAGAAGCTATTTCACTTTGAAGTGTAAGACCAGCGAACATGATAACGCCAAATGATGCATTAATGACGTCTAACGTCAATAATGCATAGTACGTACATAATATATCACTTGATGTCATCCTGCCACTTGAGAGTATTTTAAATCCTGTTGTTACAAAAATGTATGATGTCGCTGTACCTCCTTAGTAAAAGAAAAGGTAATTAAAAATTAACAATAAAAATTTTCATTTTTGTGTGTACATTTTGGGCGTACATGCACTTCAAGTATTTATAAGAATGTGTGCAAATTTTCATTGTGGTTCAGAGGTAAAAATTTAAAAGTAGAAAATAATACAGAGCAAAGTAAGCGAGTTATAAAATATTCATACACACAACTATATATAGTACCATACATTTTTATACGAAGAATAGAAATTTAAGGGTAATTTCCAGTGACTTTATGCGGGGACTACATGAGCAAGAGATATACTTTTTTAGGAGGCTTTCTTCATCGTTTGTCCGCGGCTTCGCTCGCTATTTAAACTTATCTCGAGTTTCGCTTGACACCGGCAGAGAAGGAAGAGACGTGGGCTAGGAGTGTCTCGATTATAGTTTACATTTTTACAGCGGTCATAAGCACTCGCATGGAAACGCACGCGTGTTCGCGGCGGCGAGCGCGGTTTTCGAAATTTGCGAGAGCGGAGACGGCGTTTTATTTTTCCGCAAACGCGCGCGAAATGGTGAAACCGGCGCGCGCCACGATGGCTTTCCTTGCCCGGAATTCGCTTAAGTCGACGTCGCGCCGCTGCTCGTCGTCGTCGTCGTCGTCGACCCTATGCATGCATTTTCGCGCGGAAACACGTATTGCATTTACGTCGGCGCGTTACAACGACTTTATGCAAGTACGTGCCCCCTTTGTCGCCGGCGGATGGGGAAATTCGCGAGGAAAGGCCGATCTTAGCGCGAAGCCGCGGCGGCATCTCTATTGCTATGCGTTCGCGCGATGATATTTGAAACAGTCGCGCGCGCCAACGCCGACTTACCGCCGGGATGAAAATCTTTTCCATTTTCGTGCAGAATCCGTTTTACGCGCGGGCGAAATGCGCGGAAGATAGCACGAGGATCTCCCCGACTTTCTGATTCCGGTTTCTCCGCGACGACTATACTCGTCGCGATTAACACCTTGAAGGCTGTGCTGGTCACCAGCACTATGATATTATCCCGTTAACTTTTTCACGGTCGTTCGTCTACCGCCTGTAGAATTCGCACTGGCAGAATGAAATCGCGCATAAGATTAAAGCACCAATACCCAAAGGCATACTGATTCCTGGATATTGTTATTGTTTGTTGAATACATATTGCATAGTGAATATATACGTGTATTTTATGGTCAAAGTTTAAATATTTATATCTAAAAAGACTAAAACAAGCCAAAATTAGATGCGTATCTAAAAATTGCTGCTTTCATCATTACAATTATATTTAAATAAAGAAACTCAGATTTAAGTTATTATGTTACTAGTACACGGAAAAAAAAGCTAATATATGGACAATTAAAAATATTAACTGCAGGAGCAAATTTTCTTGCTTTTAGCAAAGTTATTTAGTTGTGATAGTTGTGATATATATATTAGCAAATCTTTTAGTTATCACAACTAAATAACTTTGCTATGAAAGCAAGAAAATTTGCTCCTGCAGTTAATAATTTTAGTTGTCCATATATTAGCAAATCTTTTTTCCCGTATACCCACCAGAATAAATATCTGCTATTTTTTAGATATTTTTTCTCTCAATGTAGGACCAATAAAAAGCCAGTGAAACAAGGCGAAAGATACACGTATTTCGAAGCATATTTTTCTCCCGTATTTTTAACGGCTCAATCATTAGCTAAAACTTTTGTATAATAAACGGAAATCAGTGGTTAACGCGTTAAAGATGATCACAGTATCGCCGTGTAAGAAATCTTTCTGGATCAATGATCCCTCCACTCATCGTGAAATTGTTGACTCTTCGTAAAAGAGGCACCGTCAACGTGATCAACGCGGAACCTCGCTCTCCTTGCACTATAAATAATCCGTAGTCTGGTTCGATATTAGCTCACGTAACCGATGTAACAGAGACGTACGTTTATGGTGATGAGCGACGCGTCGACCCGAGGTGCGGGCGCGGGGACCTTAAATTACACGCGTATCATATGCGTGGCCCGCATGCAATACGCGCCTGTCGCACGTGGAGGGGCTAAATTCAAAGTGAACTCGCGCATAATCGCAAATGTGACGTCGAGTGGAAAACTGTAACGCGCGCGGGCGAACGCGCCGCGCGCTAATGCGCGGGCCGATATTTTACGATACGATTTTCTGCCTCGGAAGGATTTATAGTCGCGGTTGATATCTCGCGAAACGCGAAATATTGCGCCGTCTAGCGAATAAAAGCAGCGACGCTGGCGGCAGCAACAGTTGCGTCTGAAGGGTGACGTCGCGGATTTTTACGCTTCAGAGTGTCTCGTCGGGCATGTAACGAGCTTCCGATACGCGGATTACGTCGCGGCATTACGGCGTACTAACCCGCGGCAAGTTACCCGGAACTCGACGACTCGAGTCCCTCGAATACCGTTTTATGAGACTGCAATCGCCGCGTTCGATGAAAGAGGGAAAAAAGAATAAAGAAAGGGAGTGAGAGGAGGGAATGGGACGCGAGAGAGAGATAGATAGAAGAAGAGAGGAGAGACTATGAGGGACTCAACGACGGGAGGACTCTGCAAATTGCACGCGAGATTGTCTCGTCGACAATAAAACCGAGTCGGATTACATCCTAAGACGCGGTCGAGTTTACAAGATTTGCTTTCGCAGCGACACTCGGAGACGAAACGTGTTTTCGAGTGGCGCGTACGTGCGCCCATTGCGAATGCTTGACAAGAATTGTTGTTGCTTGCCGAGGTGTCGGCTGAATGTGGAAAATGTCGACAAGCCGACACGTTGTTTCTAGCCGTGTATCCTCCTACTGCGACACGAGGGTGATTGTTCTCAATTAACGATTCATATAATTGTGTTTTCGTGATGAT